CATCTAAATGAAGATCTTTTCCATCTTTGAAGGGTTGGGGAGAATAGGGAACTGCACATTTGTGAACTCTTTTGCAACAATCCTCTGAGACACAAAGACACATCTCCATAAATGCTGCCTCTGCTACAAAATACTCTCATGCAGCCCTGCTTGGTCTTCCAGGCATCCTGCTCCCAGTAGTGTCTACATAGATGGAGCCTTGCAGCTTTGAGGATATCCCATGCTGACTTTTGTGCAGACATGACCAAGGCCTTTACCACAGGACCTCAAAATACCCAGAAATACAATATGAATAATATAGACACAGAAACATACACACACACACACACACACACACACGTATATATTTACATGTTTATTCCAGAGGATCATGTGATCTGAGAAAAAGAATAGCAGAAGTTGTAAACATATATAATTGTATACATAAAATATAGACATTTAAACCTTCTTTTTCTATTTTGTCAACTTCCAAACAGTTATCAAGAGGTACTATTCCTCCCTTCATAATTATTATAAATAGAGGCATTGTAGGGACCAGGACAAATAGCCAGAATGTAAACACATCAGCCCTAGAGAAAAACTTACAAAAATATGCAGTAGCAGATGTGTGGTTTTCTCTTTGTTCATCACATTCTAGGGTAGCACACAGCAATTCAGAATGGCTACAAGTCAGATTCTGGGAGAGATTCCCATCCTTGGGCTTTGGGACTTTCAAGTTGAATTATTAGGGAAGCATCAGCTTCTCCTTGCTGTATTCAGTGACCAGCCAGGATTCAACAGCAATATGAGTTAGCTATAGCTCCATGCTGCTAACTCAGCCTTTATGTTTGGGGTAGCACTGGTCTCTCCGCTGGAGGAATTAGCAGGTTGGAGTCCAACTTTTGTGGTTGCAGCTGTATAGTCTAGCAAGCTATTGACTGGATTTGCCACATCAGCACTCGTGGCTCAAGAATCTGGCATAACTGGGGTACTGGGATCCAAGACTTGCCATCATTGACCAGGATTAATGTCCTTAAGATTTAGGCCATTGCCAGTTTCACTGGCGCTTTGCAGAAAGCCTACTTGTTTCCTGGGAGGCCTGCTTCAAGGAACAAGTCTTAAATACTAATACTATATCCCTTACTGCTTAAGGGAAATGGATAAATGTAGAGCACAAAAATAGGCAGGCCTAGTCCCAACTATTCAGGAGGCTGAGGAAGAAGGACTGATTGATCCCAGGATTTCAAGGCTGTAGTATACTATGCATCTGTGAATAGAAGTGCGCCCTAGCTTGGGAAACATAGCAAGATCTGTCTCTTAAAAAAAAAAAAAAAAAAAAAAAAAGTAGGCAGCAAGGGAGTTGGTCTTTTTTTTTTTTTTTTTGAGATAGAGTCTCACTCTGTCACCAGGCTGGAATGCACTGGTGCAATCTCTGCTCACCACAACCTCCACCTCCCTGGTTCAAAGGATTCTCCTGTCTTAGCCTCCCAAGTAGCTGGGACTACAGGCATGTGCCACCATGCCTGGCTAATTTTTGTATTTTTAGTAGAGATGCAGTTTCACCAGATTGGGCAGGATGGTCTTGATCACTTGACCTCGTGATCCACCCACCTTGGCCTCCCAAAGTTCTGGGATTGCAGATGTGAGGCACTGCACCTGGCTGGGAGTTGGTCCTTAAGTAAAGATTCAACATACTTGCCATCCTGTCCAAATCTCCAGTCTTACATACCACAGAATCAATATTTGAATATAGATGTTTTTATTCCAAATTCACTGATCTTTACAGCATCTTTTAGCTCCTCAACTGTTTTTCTTTGGAATGATTGTAGAACCTATGGGAGGTGGGCATAGTATGGATTTATTTTTTTGGCAATAGCAGCTATATCCAATTAATCCTCAAAATAAAGATAGGATTTACTTCAGGGTCCAGAAGTTACCATGTCTTCTCTGTTGGTTGTGGAGAAATCTTAAAGACATATTAACACTGTATTCATTTTTCTGTACATTAAACCTTCAATTTTATCATTTATTTTGGTTTTTTCTTTTGGGAGAATCAATCTCATTTTAAGTAAATTATGAATTAAAAATTATACATTTTCAGGCTATACATCTTGTAGATTTCCAGTTTTATTGCTCTTATTGATTGGTGTTTCACTTTCTGCCAGTCCTGGATAGTCATGCACACTATTCAACCAAACCATTTGCTGCAAGTGAAAATAACTACATTTATCAGCTCGGAGAGTTATAAAATCGAGTCCAAATTAAATTGCACATTAGATGCCATTCTTGAAATTGAAATGTTTATATGTCTAACAAATATGTGAATTGTACATGTAGATGCCCAAAGCCATGGTCTTATTGAAATACACTATTTTTGATCTATATGGAGTGAAAGACTCCTCTGGAAGTCTTCTGATTGCACTGAGGCCAATTTCCACTATTTTTGCCCAGGACACAGATTTATGGGTAAAACTGCCTTGGCAACATAGTTTAAGTAAAGCTAGCTTTTAATTCACAATTTTGCCTTTGTTTTGAGTTTTTTTCCTATAATCTTTGCCTATTAAATCACTGCTACTAAAAAATTAATAACTAATAGCTAGTACTAAGAGACCTACATAAATACTCTCATTCATTGTTTGGTTTCTTTTTGTATTGCTTGTGCTGCTCTAGGCAGGCCATGAATTAGAAAGAAGTCATCTCATTGGTTTGATTGCTCTAGTACTTACATTCTAATAGGGGAGATAACAAAAAGTAAATGAACGATAAGGTAATCCTAGAGAGTAGTAAGTGTCATGGAGAATGTAAACTCGGGTGATGGGAGTGGAAGGGGCAATTCTAAAGCAGGTGACCCCAGAAGGTCCTTCGGAAGCTATGGGAATGAGCCAGATCTATGAAGATCCGTCAGCAGAGCTGCAGGAAGAGAGATTTTCAAGACCCAAAGCCTGAGGTAGGAATGAGTGTAACAATGTCATAAAATTGGTAGGTCCATTTATGTGACCTGGCCAAGAGGCCTAACTTGTCGGAACTTCAGTTTCCATATCTTACGTAGGCAGATTTGTTAACTCATTCATAAAATTTCTATTGAGCCCTTACTATGTGCCAGGCACTGTTTAGACTCCTCTGGGGATATATAAAGAGTCACTGCCCGCTATCCTGAGAGAGAATAAATACTTACATTCTAGTGGAGGAATGGGGAGACAAACAACAAACAAATACCAACAAAGGAGGACTGGTAATGATAAGTGCCTTGAAGAAAAATAAACCAGAGTAAGGAGATGAGAGTGGAGCTGAGAGGTGGGTTATTAGGGGCATCAAGGAGAGCCTTTCTGTGGAAGCAACATTTGAGCAGAAGGAAGAAAGAGAGAGAAGCAGGCCATGTGGACTTCTGGAGGGAGTGGGAGGCATTTGAGGTAGAGAGACAGCAAGTGCCCTGAGGTTGAAGGGAGATTGATATATTCAAGGCATAGTAAAGGGTTCAGTGTGGTAGGATGCATGCCACAGAGGAAGGTAGGAACCATATCACGCAGGACTGCATCATTCTAAGGGTGATGAAGGTTAGGAGCAGTGATGGATAGGAGTAATGATATCAACAACTGCGTGTTGGGAGAATTAAGAGATAAGGCAATATATAGCTAACATAGTGCCTGACCCTCCCTTCCTCCCTCCCTTCCTCCCTCCCCAGCTTGTCCTTGGTGTCTCTTTCCCTGTTCATTTTCTTCCCCCTTCTTTGTACATCTGCACTGCTCAAATATATCTCTGAATAAGATGTCTAACATGTTGTTTTCTGTTTACTTACCACTTTTATGCTAAACTATAAGTTCTTGGAGGACAGCAAAGTTGTCTTTTATTTCTGTATAATAGTCACATTGCCCCCAATACCTTGCAGAATTTGTTGAATTGGCATCACAGAATTCTGCTCCATGGGGAATGGAAATGTTTCCTGGGAGTTAAAATGTATGAATGGACTGTCACAACACCTTGTTTGGACTGGAGAGCCCTGAATTGGTTGAGGCAACTGCACTGGGAAGGCTGTAGTAATATGGTTGTTCACATAAAAGCTCTCTAGTTTGCTGTTAGCTTGGAGCCTGGTGCTAAATCTAGCATGATTTGGTAAGTCTCTTAATTTTTCTGAAGTTCAATTTTCTCATGTGTACAATTGAAATAATAATCTATAGGATTATTGGGGGATTGAATAAGAGAATATACACCAAGTTGTAAGCACAGTGGACAGCTCTGAGTGACTAATAAATATTATCTAGTACTGAAGGTATTGTCCCAATTTCCTTCTCTTCCTTCATCTTCAAACCCAACTTTGGAAGCTATGGAAAAGCATGGGAGCCTTTTCCCTATTGAAGTGGTAAGTCCTGCTCTCTTGGTTATAATTATACTATGAGCCTGGTGCTGGGAAGAAAGTTGAGTCACTTAACACCAACTTCTCCTGTTCAAACTTGCCTACCTATCTGTGACTGATTTACTTTAGTTGTTTGAGAGCAAAGAACTTGTCTTGTTTATCTGCATGGTAAAGAGGATAATAACTTACCTAAGGTCACATATATAAGTGGCAGAGTAGGCTTTGAGTGAAAATATGGCTCATTCTGAAGTTCATGGGAACAAAGAAAGCATGCTCTCCTAAGAGGCAAGAAACAAGATGTAGGCATTCTGCTACTTATCTTGTCACCTTGGGAAAGTACATTTATCCTCTTTCAGGGAAAGGACTACCTTTCTGATAGCCAGGCCAATGCCCCTTCTGTTGACCTTCTTGGGTTTCATTTTTCACTTGTATGAATTGAAGATTTGGGCACAGCCTGACTCTGCTCTGCATTTTCATACTTACTTGGTGGTACACATGTCCCAGGCCCTTATTAGTGACCTGGTTCTGTAAAGTGACCTTTCTGTTGAGAGATCCATGTGATTATTCATAGGCACCAATCACTACCAATACTTGATAGAGTCACTAAATATTGCAAAGCAGCAAATAGAACCATTTTGTGTGTGTAGTTCAGCAGAGGAGATAACCTTACATTTCAGAATTCTTTCTTTTGTTCTCCCAGTCCTTCTCTAAACACCCTTCACCAGCCTTGCTGTTTTTCTTTCATCAGGTACCTTCTGCTTTTAGTTCCATCTGTTCTTCCTTTTCCTCATTTTGTCTCCAGTGGGGACCTGGAAGATAAGAAGACATACATCTGAAATACAGATTTGTTGCCTGGGAGAGATCAGAGGATTGTTTATTTCTTTTCTTCCTTTCTTTTTTTTTCCCCTTAACACCGTGATCAAATCTTGGTTCTTTGCTGAAAACTTTTCCAGATGGGGTAGTTTCTTTGCTAATTAAAAGGTTGGATAATGAGCATTTAGTGTTCTGGTGATTAAGACCTGCTCAGCCTCACAGGTCAGTGCCACCTGAATTAATTGGCACCTTCTCAGTTGGGGTTCAGTTCTCAAATCTTATCCTACCAGGAATGGCATTCAGAACTCTTTATAATCCACCCTCATGCAGTTTTCCCAGCCCTTCCTCCCTTCACTACATTAGTCTCTCTTGATGTAGTGATTTACCCTCTGTCACCCTCTTGCCATGTGATTTGCTTCATTGCCACTATATTCCCTATTTCTCTCTGCCCAGAGTGGTTTAGTTATGACTGTAGACTCAGGAGATGGCATGCACTGGGATCATTGGAACTAGCCCTGTCACTATTTAACTTCAGCATTCTAACCTATAAAAAAGAGGATAGTAGCTTACTCACTTCATTGGATAGTTACGAAGATGAAATAAGGTAGTGTATAAAGGGTTTGGCAGAGCACCTGGCCTATGGTAAGTGCTCACTGTTAGCTACTGTAATTTTCCATTTATATATATATTCAAATCTCACTGCTCTTGCAAGTCTCCTAAAAAATATGCAATTTATTTTGCCATTGAAAGTAATGGCAAAAGCCACAATTACTTTTGCAGCAACCAAGAAGCCTTCTTTGACCACTTTCTATTAAAAAATGATCTCTTCCTCCTAGTATTCTTATTTCCTGACTTTAATAGAATCACTTGGTTGGTCTGGGTTTATGTTCAAAGTCCTCGACTACAGGTGAAATATTCTTGGAGGAAGAGACCTAAGCTTCTAGCACAATGCAGAGGCACATCTTTATATAATAGAATTGTTATTTTATGTCCCCAATTTAAAGGATTTTATTTTTGTTGATGTTGTCTTGGGCTCTTGAGTTTTCTACTGATTTATTGAATGGTCCACTGATTTCTCATTATGTGAAAACTAGGGAGTCCTAGGTGTATTTCTTCCAAGAGCCTAATTAATTCAGGCTGCTGAGGCTGCCACATGGACTCTGGTTAAAGGACTAGGCTGTTTGGTGAGCAATGCTAAGTTTTACTTTGGAACACTAAGGTCATATACTTTTGAAATGCCAAATTACAAGATGCTTTGAAGGAAATTTTAGGGTAAATCACAATCTCATCCATGTGCATCTGCAGTTAAGGTTTATAAAGAGAAGTTTGGTTGCTGATTTTCAGTAGCAGTATCATCAGTTTTTTAAAAACCACAGAAATTTTACATATATTTTGCTTCACAAATACCTATAATTAGGTCAGAATTCAGAAAAGTGGGCTTCTATTTGCATAGAATTATATTAAATCTGCATTCTCTCATAGCAGGGTTGAAAAAGGATTAATCACTTATTCATGCAAAACCAATTCGCATGAATCATTTATTTATCTTGTTCTGGTATTTTGCAGAGCTCATTTTTACATGCCTCAGGTTGCAGATAAAGTGAAAACTCAGAGGGTGATTTACCCTCCACAATAAAGACCTGATGGCCACGTAAACAGCAGGCTTCCTATAGGAAATCAATAGGTAACCATGGAAATGATTTCACAATGGGAAATTCTATTTCTTTATGAACAAATCATCAAAAAGATCAATTGTAAGATGAAAAGGCTTTGTCTGTTTCCTTACCTTTCACAAAAGCTTTTGGTCTATGTAAAGAAAAAAGTATGTGCCTTGGTGACAATAAAGAATTATCTTAAAGCTGTATTGAAAATGAACATCACTTTTTACTTTATAAAGTTTGGGCTAGAATTTCTTGTGCTCTGTTCCTCGAAGTCTGGCTAAGAAACTTATGTCTAATGGCAAGAAAAATGTTCCAGAATACAGGATGCTTGAATTCTTGATCCAGCCTAATTTCTTTAAAAAACAGAAAGGGTAATAATATCCAACAGCAAAGGGGTCTTTGATAATTAAATAAGATAATCATTGGTAAAGAATATAGTACACTGCCCAGAATGGAGCAAGTGGAAAATGCTATTAACAGCTACTTCTACAGGGATGATGATTGCCCAAACAGTATTAATCCCACTAGTAAAGGGTTTTCACATTACAGGTGTTTGTTTTAACTTTTATTTTAGATTCGGGGGTTCATGTGAAGGTTTATTACATAGGTAAACTCATTTCATGGGGGTTTATTGTACAGATTATTTCATCACCAAGGAATTAAGCCCAGTACCTAATAGTTATCTTTTCTGCTACTTTCCCTCCTTCCAACCTCCCCACTCAACTAAACCCCAGTGTCTGATGTTTCCTTCTTTGTGTACATAAATGCTTATCATCAGCTCCCACTTATAAGTGAGAACATGCAGTATTTGGTTTTCTGTTTCTGTGTTCGTTTGCTGAGGATAATAGCCTCCAGCTCCATTCATGTTCCTGCAAAAGACAAGATTTTGTTCTTTTTTATGGATGTATAGTATTCCATGGTGTGTATGTACCACAATTTCTTTGTCTTATCTATCACTGATGGACATTTAGGTTGATTCCATGTCTTTGCTATTGTGAACAGTGCTGCAATAAACATTCATGTGCATGTGTCTATGTGGTAGAATGCTTTATATTTTTTTGGGTATATACCCAATAATAGGATTGACTCAGCCTAATTTCCAGCAGCAATGAGATCTTTAACAAGCAGTTTCATCTTAGTGGGCCTTGATTTCCTCATCTGTAAAGTAATCAGATAAGCCTAGGGATGGCAGTCTGATTTAGCCCAGGGACAACATGGATGTTGCATGTATAGTATTATGTTACTTTCTCTTACTTGGAAGACATTACCAATCAATTGTGATCTTCTTTGTCATTGAACTTGGACAGTCTCAAAATCCTTATTTATATATTTCTCCAGGTAGCTGCTGCCTATGGATCAGAGTTGTCATGTGTAAGACGTCAGTTTACCTGTATGTGACCTTTAAGGTTTATTTAGCCCTGACAATACAAGATCTGAAACCTCACTTGAAGTACTGAATATTCATGTATTCAGCTAGTCTTGAGCACACAATCCAAGTAACAAGGATAGCACCAACAATAAACGATTAGGATATTGTCTTTATTAAGCCAAATAAATTGTTTGATTTCATTAATGTCAAAATATTTATTTCGATGCAAAAGTTACTATTGAACCACCGACTGATAATAATGAAATGATGTTTGTAGCGCTTTGCTGCTGTTTACTTACCAGTTTAGAGATAACAACATTAAGTCGCAAATCTGATTGCCATTTTTATACTTGCTCTTTTTTCAACAGTAGAGGGCAGCACAGCTATTTTTAAGTGTCTTCTTGGGGAGCCATTTGTGTATGTTCAAAGGCATTGTGTACAGTGGGTGCAAAGATGTGAGCCCTGGTGGGTTGCAATGGAAGAGTATATTCACATGTCAAAAAAGCCGGCTTAATCAGTTCTTTTGGATTGTGGTGTGGAATTTTCCTCTCTCGGCTTTCAGAAATTTCCATTACCCTGTTCGTATTTACATGTTTCAACATTTCATATTGATCCTTTTTTGTTGCTGTTCTTTCTGTTGTTTTTTCTCCTTGTTTCACCTTAAAGGCAGTGTTATGTAGGTGGCAATAATACTGCTTTTGGCTTCTGAAGGTGTAGACTCCAATCCCAGCTCTCTTGCTCGCTCTGTGACTGAGTTGGTCAGAATCTCAGAGCCTCACAATTCGTTTTAAAACAGATACCAAAATACACAATATTCTCGATCATCTCATCATGTTGTTGTGAATATCAAATGAAATCAATATATGTGAAAGCATTATTGAAATATAGGTTTTAAAAATAATAACCAATTTCTTCTGTGCTATTATTGCTAAAAGTCAAGTTTTTAATTAAAATGAATTACACAAATAATCTTTAGGATTTAGAATTGTAGGATGGCATCTGCCAATGGGTAGATTTGGTTGCAAGGCATCTTGGGAGATCCTTGGGATGGAGGATGGCTTGCTGGGAGCTGAACTGCAGGAACTGATGCAGCTGTAAGGGCCAAGCCATGAAAGAGTATGGCTGGAACCTGCTGGGTTTATTGAGAATATTGACTTTATTCTGAATAAAGGCTACTACTGAACTTAAACCTATCAGACCCAATGTCTCCTCTTTCCAACAGATACTTTGTAGTGCCCTTTTTGCTCTCAAAAATAATTTGTAGGTAATACTTCTTCATGCTTAATTTTACACAGAAAATAAATCAGTTTATGCCCTAATTTTAACATGTAGGTTTAAAAGTGTAAAATAATTAAAACTAACATAATATGTATATTAATACAGACATGTTTGAGCCTGGTTACACTAACAGACATATTGAAGTAGTCAGATGCTTATTCCTACATAAAGAATGGAAATTGCAAATGCAGACTCACACAGGAGCTTTGTACTTGTGACTTAAGTAGCAAGAATGTCATTGTAGTATTGGTGAAGTGATTTTCAGGGTGGTGAACAATTTTTGGTAAAGCTTTCTCCCTATGATTTAGGGCTAGAGACTGTCCTGGAAAGTTAGTTGCATATTGAAACATACTGCAAAAAGTACTTTGAGATTGTGTATGAAACAGAGTTGGCTTCCAGGCTCAGATACTAACAGAGAGGTTTTTCATCTACGTGAGTGTTCAAGGAACACAGTAGAACTAATCTTTGTTCTACTGTGCATTATCCAGTGCCTTCATTGTGGGATGTCTATTTTCTCTGGCCTCCGCACTCTAAAGGCCAGTAAATACGGGGTGATAATGTAGAAGGAAGCAGATTTTACTGTTGTGATAATCAAATATATCATCAACAGTTTCTGGAATCTTCCACTGGAGGCAGAACTATCCCATCTGAGAATCAGTGATCTAAGTTGGGAGTCCATATAGCATAT